CATACTGTCCCATCCGTCCTGATACCCAAGGTCAACATTCGATGCCAAGATCCTGGGTTCACCACCCAGGACAGAAGAACCACTTGTGTCAGCTGTGCCGGGGACACCGCCTGCAACCTCGGCAGCCTGAGGTGGGGGCCAGGTGTGGGAGAGAACACTGAGCACTCTGCCAAGGGTCTGCTGCCAGCTCCCCTGGTACCCAGGGCCTCTGTCTTTCCTTCAATGTGGCCAGGTTCCTGCAAGAGGGCCATCCTCTGTGGGAGATCCCAAAGTAAGCACAAGGGGTTGGTGCAAGGCCTTCCTTGCAAGCCCAGGAGACATCTGCACCAGAGGCCAGGCCTCTGCTCTGTGCAGGGAGCACGCTGTGCTGCTGCCTTTGCTCCCGGTCCCCACAAGGCCACGTGCTGTGGGGTTTGCAGGGAAGGACTTTGAAATGCCATGTCTGAATGTCAGTTGGCCTCTTCCTTCCGAATCTGCAAACCTTTACTTCCTTCGCAGGTGTTCCTGCGGGAGTTAGGACTTCCAGTGTGATGCTGCATGACTGGTGAGAGGTGCCACCCTTGCCCTGCCCTGGTCTCAGACAAACCTGCCTCCTGGCTGTCACGGTTGGTGGTTCGGTTCTTGGTGGGTTAAAAGTTCAGCATGAGTAGGTGTTGAATTTTGCGAAATACCTCTTCTATGCCTTCTGAATATTTTCCTCTGTACCTGTTGATTTTGCCAATGACAGTAATTGGTACTCAAGTGTGAAAGCAGCCTTATACACCTGGGAAAAGTCCCCATTGCTGTGGCATAATTCTGCTTGTGTGCTATTGGATACAAATGGTTAATATATTTTTGAAGATGTTTTCATCTTGTTCATGATATTTTCCGCAATGTCTTTGTTGCCTTTGCTGCTTTCTCTTTTGGTAGGTTAATCACCACTGATTTGACTTTTTATTTCTGTCCAAAACATTCCAAGAAATGCTGTAAATTTAATTTTACATGTTATTATCTTTAATTCAGTCCAAGGCTTCTTCTTACATCAGTGCCTAGTAACAGAGATGTGTTACTTTTCTGAGCAGTGAGTCCCACCTCAGGATTAGTGCTTTGGGGCTGGATAATTCCTTGTCACCTGAGGGTGCTCCTTGCATGGTACACATTGAAAGCATCCTTGGCGTCCATCCAATAGAGACCTCACCCCAGGTGTGACACTCCACTATGCCTGCAGGCTTTGCCAAATATTCCTCAAACAGCTCTAGGCTTTACCCAAAGTCAGCTCCAGTCCAGAACTATTGTCATAGAGCGTTGGAGTCAATAGATAGAGCATTAGATTTTCTGTTACTTCATGTACCCACTTGTTAGATTGTGTCTTTCAAGGTTTTGAACCATTTTGTCCAAGTTACCACATTGATTATCATTTGGCATGGAAGGGAATATATAATAGTTTCTGTAGGAATTTCCTGTCTCTAACTTCCAGAGTATGAAGTCCAACAGTTAAGAGCATGCTGACAACAATTTTTGCTCACAAAACTCTGATTCAGATGAAACAGGAACATAGAGTATTATCTCCTAACGATACCAGTGGCACTCAATACCAGTGTGTGTCATTGTGATTTGTGTTGCTTTTTTTTCTTTGCATGTTATCTTTAGCATTCCATTTCCAGTCTATTTCCTCTTTCTTTATGTTATAAATGTCAAAGATGTCCTATATTTTCTGTCATCCCCTTATACTTGTGGGTTAATAAAATCAATCTGAGCCAAAACCATTTATGTAACCCACATTAGCAACATAGTGTTGGGAAATCTTGGTGTTCAGCTTCTCTGTTAATATTGCACATGGTTTTTATGGGGTCCGTACCTATTCTCAGGTGTAGATGGAACTATGTACAGTACAGGGATTCCACTGTGAACATAATAATAGAGAAGTTTACACTGAGACACTTTTACTTTTTTCTGGTTCGTGATTAATGGCAAGGGACACAGTGATCTTTCATAGGTTTCCCACGTAGGAGATTTCTATAAAACCATTTATATTCTTTTTATCTATTACAAAGTGTCATCCAAATTAAAGTGAAAAAAATATACATCACCATTATTATATCATGTTCTCAAAATATGAACTGATTTTTCAGCTCTTTCTCATTTTTTATTAAGCTCTCCAGAAGCAGTTAGTTAATTAATCAATTAGTTCTCAGAATGCGCTGTCATCTCACAGCCTAATGCGAGAAGAGTACTGTTAGACTGTCAAAGAGAGGGAGAATTGATGGTTTGGAAAGTTTTATTCTCACGAAGTCGTTTCAGTTAGAAATTGTTTTAGAAAAGTCAAATTCTGAGATTTAATAAAACAAGGTCTGAAGGTGAGAAATAGGTCCACACCCTCATTTGGCCTGTTCTGTTAGTAGGTCTATGAGGAGCAGTTTACAGGCACTGTCACAGCTGCTTCCCACAGTCTGTGAAGCTGCCTTTTGGTACATAGACGTCCGCCATGTTCCTTTACGGTGGGCAGGAAACGAATCGCCCTCTTTTCTGCCCTTCAACGATAGATAACGCAATCCTTAGCTCCAAGGATCTAAGACAACAGTTCTCAACTGGGGCTGATTTTTGCCCCCAGGCACACGTGGTAAAGTCGAGCAGTATCGCTGAGGGTCCCAAGCGGCATGGGGATCTGTTGGTCACAGGCCAGGGATTCCTTAAATATCCACCACCCAGTGGACAGCCCCACAAGCGAGGGATCATCAGCTCTCCAGCAGCACAGTCCTGAGTGGAGAAACTGCTCAGCAGGTACAGACACCCCTGCTGGTGAGGACTGATGTAAGAAGCAGCCTGTGACCCAATTAAAGATAAGAAGGTATAGGCCGGGGATTTAGCTCAGTGGTTTCGCCGCCTACTGTGCAAGCGCAAGGACCCAAGTTCGATTCCCGGGACAAAAAAAAAAAAAAAAGACAAGAAGGTATAAAATTAAGCTTATTAGCGTTTCTTGGCAAGTTTTAGATAGAAAACTTTTGCCATCATGAAGATGCTAGTTTTCTATATGTTAATTCACACAATTTAAGACAATCTCAATGCAAATATGCTTTTTTTCCTAGAGCTAAAACAGTTGATTACGAGATTTAATTAAAAAATAAAATAGAGAGAGAAACTCTTGATGAGGAAGGATTGTGTGGTGTGTCAGGGGTAGTTGGTGATGGTGTTCTAACCCACACTACAGAAGATAAGGCGTCTATCAGTAAGCGCCACAGTGGCATTCGAGCACACACAAATAGAATAGAATAGCAAAACTTAGATACCAAACTGTACATGAAATGTAACCACACAGTAAAGTCCCATTTGCAATCATGGGGAGAAATTAAAGTTTTTAAGTAAGTGCTTGGGACATCTTAAGAGTTAGACTCAGGTTCTGGACATGGATCCTGGACAGAAAAAACAGACCCAGCAGAACTTTTCCCAATATCACAGGGTTTTAGAAACAAACAAAAAAACGATTGGGGCTGTTAAGGCAGCCACGCCTGGGAGCGACAAGGTTCTGAATGGCGTGAAGTTCAGGGATTTTAGGCAAACGATTCATGAGCTGCCCGTGGCAGGATACAGGAAGTCCAGAGTACACAGAGAAGGAGCACTCGGGGCTGGCACTGAAGGAGAAGCCTGATAAGACTCCCGAAGGCAACACCATGGGCACAGAGGTGAACAAAGTCAGGCGGAATCATCTATCAACTTAGTGAAGTAAATAAACGAATACATTCATAGACAAATGCCTACTGTTAAAGAAATCTTGAGGACTTGGATGAGGTCAGATACAGTTCTTCTTGAAAGGTGTCACTGTGGGAGTGAGACTTCAAGACACAAAGTGAGAGAAACAACGAGCAATACATGTATTTGATGAAAAGTAGCGTTATATTAAACTATAGATTGACACAACATTGAGAGAAAAATAACAAAAATATGTAAAAGACTTCAAGGAGCTTTTACAAATGAATTTCTGTCTCAAACCAGTTAATACAAGAATATTCTCTTTCAGGAGTCGTCAAGGATATATCAACTAAACAGTGAGTATGATTCCATTATACACAACCCAAATGGCTGAATCTAAAACTGAACAATGATGCCAAGTTTAGCCAGGACCTACTAGAGCTAAATGAATGCTCTCTGACCAGAAATGCCAGTCTCAGCCCTTGAGCCTAATAAACAAGTGCATGTATTTGTCAAGATCAATGTGCAAAATATTGTTGTTTCAATATTTACATAGGGAAACTGCAAAATGCAAAGCTCATTAGCAATAGGAGGATACCCCTACTTTGGTATGTTTACAGAATGGAATGTAGTTTGCAGGCATATGACAGAGGCACGTGAGTAAGTGCAACAGAATGAATCAGTGTCGCAAACATAATGCCGAGGCAGGTGTCACGCTGCTTCCAGCACAGCATGCAGGGAGGGTGCTGACTGCTCGGGAGATGTCACTTCCCGGGGTGCTGGCACTGCTTTCCCGTACCTCCTGCTCCTGATGTGGAAGCTTGTGGATGAATGGTTCGTTTTGTAAAACTGTCTGCAACTGTTTTGCTTATGGTGTGTTCAATTTTGCCTCTGTCTGCTAGACTCTACTGATTTAAAAAGGTGGTGGCTCACAGCCTGCATTATTACAAAACATAATCTTTCTCAATAAAAACCCATATGTTTACAACTATATTCAATTAGTAGTTCTAACTGAATTCTGCAGAAAAGTCAGAAAAACCCACATTTCCTCTGCTCTAGGAAGAAAAAAAGTAGTAAAACAAATGAAATACATTTCATTAAATTTTATGCCTCAGAATGTGGGCAGCTACCTATTCTCCTTTAATGGCCAGTATCTGGTTTTGGGCAGAATACCTAACAGTAATGTCTCCTGAGTGCTGAATTAGCATATGAAATCACAGGGATATATAGTAAAATGAATTATAAGAATGGAAAAATATATGTATCCCAATAACCGACCAAAGTCTCGCTTCAGAGGAGTTAAATTAGATTCACCATGGTGAAAGGGCCACAGCATTTCACAAGTTGGAGTTATACACCACGCAGGTAGGTGGCCACTGCCAGGACAGGTTTGGGCAGGAGGACATCGAGTTCTCTCTGCCTACATTGTGTCTTTTTTCAACTCTCGGGAGGCCTCGGTTTGCATTATCTCATTTCCAGTACTGGAGAATGGTTGAAAGTCTGCGGCTGTCTCCTGTGTTAGCTTTAGCAGCAGCCCCTGTCCTAGGAAGCCTCACTGTGCCCACCTCTACTCACCGTGGGCCTGGCGAGCTTACGTTAGATGCAGATGGCCTAGTTGTACAATCATTTACTGACACGAATTTCATCATCAGAGTCATATATCTTCACAAAGTGATGGTAATAATCATGCCTTCCAGAGAAACACATCTGCACAGAAAAAGAACATCAGGTCATTGAAGAATCCAAGGAATCCCGTGAATAGGGCAGTCTCCGGGTCACCGCCTAAGGCAGGGGCGTCAGTCCTAGCAGCAGTCTGCACGTGGGAGTGTGGACTCGGTGGCAGACATGGTCGGTCCACACTAGGCTGAGACGCCGCTCAAGAGCAAACAGCAACATCCACCACTGTGAGAAAGTGCCAAACGACAGCCGCAGAACTATGCTCTGAGCCCAGTACTGTGCGTTAACAGCTGTTTAAAGCTGAACACCAAGCATAACTAGAAATGGCAGAAATAGTTACTGTGGGGAAAATTTAGGACACTTTCCGCGATGCCAGCAAGAGGCTATTTCTGGCTCTGGGGGCTCTCCAAACTGACAGCGTGCTGTTTACCTCTTCCTCATAAATGAATCTTCTCATCTTTCGTTTCTTTCCAGGACCCCAGTTAGGGCCGGCCTTCCTGGAACTTCGAAGGAAGAAGCAGCACAGCGCTGAGTCTGGGCTGTGGAACTCCAGGACTTCGGCTCAGTGACCCTGGCAGTTTTCTCACGTTAACCTTGGGAGGAGTGCAGTGTCTTCGCAGACATTTCTTTTGCTTAAGGGACAGAAGATAAACTATTAACTGGCTTTCAGCCCAAAAGCAACATAAGATTCTTCCAACTGACATTTGTCTTCATATTGAATATTACAATCAAATAGCTCCCAGCAGTGATACTGATGATCAAAGGCAATGATTATGGAAACCAGTAATCTGTTTAAGAGGGACAAGGAAACTATTTTTCTTACATTAAAAGTTAAGAGGATTTGGGCTAGCTGATGTGGCACAGACCTGACATTCTGGTGGGCAAAGTCTCAGAATCAATCGGTAGAGATGATGCAGTGGGTTAGGAGCAGTGGTGTTCACAAACCGCAGGCACATCTTCCATCTGGACCGAGTCCTACTCAGCACGAACCTTTACAGACATTGGGAAGTAGACTTTCGTTCATTTTACTCATTCACATTTTCTAGGTTTCTAGAAGGTGGCAGGCCCGATAAATATAAATGTATTGACATAACTTTAAGTTGCAAAGATTCAATTATATTAAAACAAAAAGCTTTCTAGGAAGCTTATAAAAATTTGAATTGGTGTGTTTCATTTAAATGTAAAGAGAAAATTCTTACCTTCAATCAATATAGATAATAAATCTTTATGGTTCTAAGCAAGTACAGCCATGGAACATATAAAATAATTTCAAATTGTGACATTAATGCTCAATAAGTTTAAAAATGTTAAAAAATAGTTTCTTATATAATGAAGATGTGAGTACAAAATCAAAACCTTGTTTTGTGAAACAAATGAGTAATGTTCAGATCAAAGAAATACACATAAAATTATATTATTTGTGGTATTGACTTAATTTCTCCTTAGGTTGGACATAGGAAGCAAAATTAGCTTGGAATCCATAAAATTAGAAGTTAGTAAATTATCAGTAAGATTTAGGTGCAGATTTTATTCATCTACATATTGAAAATTTACAATTATTCCAGGCATCAATTAGAAAAAATTTAAAAAATCTCCCTTTATGGAACATATATTCTAAAAAAATGAGCAATAAGAGTATAATATGTAAAAATATACAATGTTAAATGGCTTTATCTGCCACAAGAAAACGATGACACGTCTGAAATGGAAAAGCTGTGTGTGTCTGAGCACAGGGTTGTTATTTCATACAGTGGCCAGAAAGATCTGATTTAATAGTAAAATGGTATTTAATCAGAGACAATATAGGACATTTAAAACACAAGGAGTAGTTTTACTGTATGTGAATTTAAATATAAATTTTAAAAAGAAGAAAAAGAAGACAGCCAGGATCTAAGCCAAAATGATGCCAGACAGCTTGCATGTCAAGTGCTCCAGCCCCGAACAGGAGCAACATTGTGTGACCAGGGTCTCGCTGCACACGTCTGGGAGTGCTGAGAGGAGACAGCAGCAGGAAGGAAGCAAGGTAGTGGAGATCAGGAAGCCATGCAGGGAGCTGCACAAACACCTGAGTTTTCAACTCAGTTGCCTACGAAGACCTCATTTTAAAACTTGTAATATATTAAAACTTTACACTGAGTGTAGACCAAAAGGAGAAATAACATGGGGAGAACTAAGGTAATTAGGGAGGTTAGAAAAACAAACTTACAAAAACAATGATACTGCATTGGGTGTCAATATTTTCACTGGAAGTGGGAAAAATTAATCAGATTACAGGTCTCTCGAGAATGTCCAAGGGACCGAGTATGGGGTATGCCTGGAAAAGAAGTTTCAATGATGCCGCCAAAGCTTCTGACCTACCAAGTTAGAGGATACAGTTCTTACTGCCTTTTATGGGGAAGATAAGGGTACAGTCAGCTTGGGGAGAAATATCAGAGTTTCTACTTTAATATATTAATTAGTGTCATCTAATGGGCTCCGAAAAGAAGCTCAGTAGGTTGACTGAGGAGACAAATCGATGAATGACTGTTGTATCCATGGGAAATTCCCGATTAAATATATGAATATGGAGATCATTGGTGTTTGTACGGTTAGTTATATGGTACAATTACCTAGTGAATAAGCAGAGGTAGAGAAAAGAAGACTCTTAAAGATAGGGACATGGGCGTTTCTGTACCGGGGATCAGGATGACGAAGAGGCCACACGAAGATGATATAGGCAGGGGAAATACTGGAACCCCTGCGTCCCGGGCAGTCAGGGAGGAATGTACTCTGAGAAAAGACAGTGGTTGACGGAATCAAATGCTGCTTTTAGGCTTAAATAAAATGGTGCCCTGTGAGCCATTCCTGCCCTGAATTAATGCAAGAGGGGACAGAGCCTTTCCCTCAACACTGGGGCTCCATCCTGCTGACTGATCTCACCCAGCAGAGAAGAAACAAACTCAATGCTCCCTTGCAGCCCTGGATTCGGTGTACTGGGACACCATGGGTGGGAGACAGCTCTGTGTGCACCTAGACCCTGCAAGTTGCAAATCAGGGCAGTGGGGCGGCCTCACTTACCACTTTTCCAAGGAGGAAGAGGAAGGAGAATTGAAGGGAAGAAAAGGATGAAGATATTATTGGAATCAGTGCTGAACACCCTGCCCCCCTACACACACCGAGTCCAGAACCAGAACCACAAAGACATGAGAACAGGAAGTTACTGTGGAACACTCCTCAGGCTGCTGGTCGACCTGGGGCAGCACAAGCAGCACAGCTCAGAGCAGCCTGCAAAGCTTCCAAGACAGCATAGACATTTTAATCACAACCCCCCAAGTCAGACCAGGACGTAGTTCTGAAACTAAACAGGGTTACTGCTGCTAAAGCAGAGGAATTATTTAAGAAACAGTCTCAGGATTGCTGTAGTCTAGATATCCCAGATACAGTCCAAAGTTACTGGTTTTGCTATCAATTAAAAAAATAAGAATAGAAAAATGGAATCTAAGATGACACTGATTTTAAAGCAACTATTGTAAAACTGTTTCAAAAGTAATTTCAAACAAGTGGAAAAATAGAATTTTTTGAAAAAATACATAATGAAAATCAAAACAGGTCTTTAAATGACAATATAAAATAACCAAAGAAAAGCTCCCCAGATCTGCTCAAGAGCAGAACAGAGATGACAGAGGAAGAATTCAGTGAACCAAATACAGATCAGTAGGACAAAGCTGCACTAAGAAATGGAGAAAATAAAATAAGAACTTGAAAGATATTCCATGACCTGTGGAAAAAATATCACAAGATGAGGCACTGGTGACCTGCTGGGAGCCTCAGAAGGAAAACAAGAGTGAAACTAAAATATATATAATGAGAAATTATATGAAAATAATGGAGGAATCATTCTAAAGTGCTGAAACCACAAATCTAAAGTTTAAAGTAACCATAAAGTAATTTCAAAGAGTCCCATTCGTAAGCACATTTCTGAAAACTAATAATAAAAACCACCACCACCACCAATAAATCCTTAAATACAATCAGAGGGAAAATACACAACACCTATGCAAGAACAGTGATTAGAATAACAAGAAATTTGTCATCAAAACTACAGAGGACAGAAGTGGCACGCTATGTTCCAGGGGAGAGGGAAAAACTATCAACTCAGAATTCAAGATATCATTCAGAAATAAAATTGAAATGAATACATTTTCAAGTAATGAAGGATTAAGAAAAGCGTGTTCAGCATTTTTCTGAAATTGTTAATAGAAGCACTTCCCACACAAATAAAAGATAACAGAAGGAAGTCTGTCACCTGAGGAAAGAAGGAATACCATTTTTTTAGTATTTAAAATTATATTTGACTATGGAAAACAAAGAGGAAACCATTGTTTGATATTGTCATTAGCACTCACCTTCCCTGTGTCTCAAGACGTTATCAAATCTCTCTTGGGGGCACATGGCAAGGGGTTCTCCCTTGGTTGAGAATCTTAGTCTGAAAGCAACCATTAAAATGTACGCATGGAGATAAATGCAAATATAAACAATGTTCAAGTAACCCAAAGGATAGCAGTAAATGAAAATGGTAGAACAAAGGATTACTTGGAAAATGATATTTTGTGCAGTTGGAGCACAAAAGCAAGCAAGAGTAGTTAGTCTAAATGCTGAAAAGTAGACTTTAAAACTGATCAGGAGGGACAAAGAAAGTCATTAGATATCAATAAAAGGAACAATTCGGTAGGAAAAGATAGCAGTTGTAAATATATGTACTGATTGTTGGTGCACCTAATTTCATAAAACAGAAGTATTTAACCTAAAAGGACAGATAGATGACTATACATTCTCAATGAGGGACTTCAAAACCCCACTGTCACAAATAGAGAAACCAGACAAGAAATCAACAATGAAATACTGGAACTGAACCACACCATTGGACAAATGGATTAAACAGATATCTATAAAGTATTTTTTTGGCAATGGAGTACACATTATTCTCAAGGGCCCAAGGAATCTTTTTCAAAAGAGACTGCATATTAGGTCATAAAGTCTGTTTGAATAAATACAAAATGATTGATTAACTTCTTGTATTCTACCAAATTATAATGAAATAAAATTAGAGCTTAACAGCAGAAAAACCATAGGAACTATACAAACATGTGAAGATTAAACAATATATTCTTGAATAATTAATGAATCAAAAGAAATTTTTAAAATTCCCAGGGCCAAATGGTAATGGAAATACAACTTATCAGAATGTGTGGGACCCAGTGAAAGCATTTCAAAGAGGGAAGTTGATAGCTGTGAATTCTTACATTAGAAAAACAGTAATCCCAAATAAATAAATTAATAATACATCTCTCAGTCCTGGAAAAATAAGAATAACCCAAATCCCAAAGAAGCAAAGAAATTATACAGATCAGAGCATAAATCAAGGATATTGGTACTAAAAATTATGCAGAGTGCCAGTGAATCAGAGCTGGGTCTTTGAAAGTGTATATAAAATTCAAAAACCCTTAGCCAAACCTAACAAAAAAGGAAAGGAAAGATGTATATCAATACAATTAGAAATGAAAAAAAGCAAAATCACACAAATGCCACTGAAATCCAGTGGATTAGAAGAAAGTATTTTGAAAAGTTATATTTCAACAAATTGGAAAATCCGATCTTAGACTTACCAAATTGAACTAAGAAGATATGAAAAGCTCCTGAATGAAATCATCAGGCAACGAAATTGGTGCACTAATAAAAACTTTACCAGCAAAGAAAACCCCAGGACACGGTGGATTCACCACTGAATTCTGCTAGAACTTTAGATAAGAACTAATTCAATGGTCCTGAAACTTTTCCATGAAATTGAAAGACAAGGAATACTGCCAAACTCATTCTACAAAGCTAGCATTGCATTACTCTTATACCAAAACTGGAGAAGGACTAAAAAAAAAAAAATTAAAAAAGAGAGAGAGCGAGAGAGAAAGTGAAAAGGAAGAAAGAGAAAGAGAGAAAGAGGGAAAGAAAGAGAG